TTCCATGCAGTGCGATGCGTGGAGACCTACATCCTCGCCCTAGCAGAGCTATTTAGTAGGTTGTGCCCCTGGGCTAGCTTCTCAACTAGGGCCCTCATTAACATGACAGTTGGCAGAGAGCACTGTTTGCTAATTTCTACTAACAAGGATTTTGTCCTCTTTTCATGTCCTCCATTTTTTGAAATATTTTTCTAAGGATCTGCAGTTTGTTAAATCGCTACTTCATTTCTTTTTTTTTTTTTTTAAGATTTTATTTATTTATTTGACAGACAGAGATCACAAGTAGGCAGAGAGGCAGGCAAAGAGAGAGAAAGGAGGAAGCAGGCTCCCTGCTGAGCAGAGAGCCCGATGTGGGGCTCAATCCCAGGACCCTGGGATCATGACCTGAGCCGAAGGCAGAGGCTTTAACCCACTGAGCCACCCAGGTGCCCCCGCTACTTCACTTCTTATGTGATCACCAGAGTTACTAAACTGGATTGATAGAGCTATTGCCCAAAGCAGCCTGGAGAGACCTGATGTAAGAAATTATACAATAGCTATTATGGTCTTTAAAAAAAAAAAAGGCATATGGACACTGATGACAATGTCTTGGAATGTTAGATTCTAGATGGACACCACTAGACAAGGTGATCTCAGTTTTCCTCAAACACTCTCTGAATCCATAAAGTAGTTCAGGTTTCTTACTATGTGCCTTTTGAAGCTCAATCATTTGTTTTGCCCTTGGGGCAGTAATTTATTTTAGTAAAGAAGCTATAAATAAGAGACCTTTTAAGCACTAGACCAAACATCCAAACATTCAGTATGATGGGTAATCCACAGATATTAATGTGGGCTAGAGTAGTCACATACAATAGATGTTTAGAGGAGGTAGAGTTTTCTCTGGTTCTTTAATGATGACTGGATTTTAAGTAGCCTGAAAAGGAAAGGGGAGAATTCAAAAACTGGGGAAGAGAGGAATATCAGCATGGGATGCCCAGAAAAAAGAGGCCAATGGGAGAGAAGGGTTGTTCTCATTCTCCCAAGAAAAAAAGCATCTACCTCTGTACCCTTAGTTCTGGACTCAGAGGAAAAGGCCAAAATGTTTTGTGATTGAAGTCATTCTTTCCTCTCCAGCTTCATTTCTAGCCCCCTTATTCCCATACTCCATGCTCTAGCCATGTCAAAAGATGGTACCCCCATCCACCAAGTGTCTCTAGCCAAAAGCCTCAAAGATCATCTTGATTCCTCCTTTGCCCTCTCCTCTCCTCCCTGATCAATCTTCCAGAAAGACTTAAGATTCCATTTCTAGAATTTCCACCTCATCTTTATAAAATGCAAACCTGGTTAAGCCATTTCTCTGCTTAAAATTCTAAATGGCTCTCCATCAGCTACAGAATGAAGTTAAATCCTCTTATCGCACATATAAACTATTCATACTCTAGCCCCTGATTACCTAACCTCATCTCCATTGATTTCTTTGCTCCATGAAAAAGTCCAGGGGAGGGGCGCCTGGGTGGCTCAGTGGGTTAAAGCCTCTGCTTTCGCTCAGGTCAAGGTCCCGGGGTCCTGGGATCGAGCCCCGCATTGGGATCTCTGCGCAGCAGGGAGCCTGCTTCCCTCTCTCTCTGCCTGCCTCTCTGCCTACTTATGATCTCTGTCTGTCAAATAAATAAAATCTTAAAAAAAAAAAAAGTCCAGGGGATAGAAAGCTTGGAAGATGCTGGGAAAGACACACGGCTGAGGGCTAAACCTTTGCAAGTAGCACACTTTCCAGGTATTAGAAGAGACGATGAGAACTTAAAGTCACACAATAGTAATAGAGAGAGTCATGAGAATATGGATTTGAAAAATATTTAGAATGTAGGATAGAACAGAGACATAGAACTAGTTAGATTCAATGATAAAAAGAAAAAGCAGGGGCGCCTGGGTGGCTCAGTGGGTTAAGCCTCTGTCTTCGGCTCAGGTCATGATCCCAGGGTCCTGGAATCGAGCCCCGCATCAGGCTTCTCTGCTCAGCAGGAAGCCTGCTTCCCCTCCTCTCTCTCTCCGCCTGCCTTTCTGCCTACTTGTGATCTCTCTCTCTGTCGAATTAAAAAAAAAAAATCTTTAAAAAGAAAAAGCAAAGCTAGGATGATGATGATGGTGACAACGACGACAATAACAATAGCCAGTAATGTCAGCAATAATAACCAATATTTTCTGTGCACTTACTATATACGAAGCATTGTTCTAAAGGTGACATGTGTTAACTCACTAAATCTCCAAATCAGATCTATGAGATAGAAGCTGTTTTTATCCACATTTTCCCACATAGTTTGGCTTTGGAATCTGCACAATTAAGCACAGTGTAAAACTGCCTCAGACCAATTGTCCTCTCCAAAACATGTCATACCCCTTTGAGCCTTCAAGTCTTCCCCATTCCTTCTGTATGAAATGCCCTTATCTTTTCCTTGGAGTGGAAACTTTCTTTAGGACACAGATTGAGTATGACCTCCTTGGAATGTCTTCTCTGTGTTCTTCCCCAAGAACAACTATTTACTCTTTATTCTGTTTTACCATCATACAGTATGTGTAATTCCACTGGTGAGCACAGTACACTACACAGCAATTACTTGTTAACATGTCTATCTCCTCTACTAGAGTGTGAGCTCCTTAACAACAGAATCTGTGTCACATTCATCTCTCAATCCCCAGGCTCTAGCATCCTCCTCTGGCACCTAGTTCTTGATCCATAGTAGGCATTCAATAAATGTTTCTTAAATGAATGGACAAATGAGTGAATAAGCAAATAAGAAATATGGAGGTGAGAATTTTCCACCCTGCCATGTTACGGACTGGTGCTGGTGTGCTCTCTTAATGCAGAACTGGGCAAGAAATGAATGGTAGTGGGATGATTAGACAGAGTGGAGACGACAGAGATGAACTTGAGACTGGGTATGCCTGAAAAGATTAGCAACATGACTTCCAGAATAGCCAAGTGATGGATGCCAAAGTCTGAGAAGGCAACTTAAGGAAGTGGATGTAATGAGAGCATCGAAAGATCAAATATGAAAGGAGGAACAAACAGATATTACTCTGGTTTCTGGGCACAGGTTTCACTGCCATTTATTAGTTGGAATTCCCCTGCCATTTATTAGTTGGAATACGACTGTTGTTCACCTATTTCCCTTTTTCCAGAGCTTCTGAAAATATTCGAACTGTGGAACACATACCATTACCAAAGTTATCTGAAGAAGAAATCAGCCAAACTTTGGAATTAGCATGTCACAACCAGGAAGTCAACATTTCCAGATGGAAGCCAAAATTGCTTGAATTTCAAAATGTAGTATTTACCTGAATTCTAAAATGTGATCATTCATTTCACTCACATGGCTGACTGGGCAGGATGGTCCCTTGGGCCATCTTTTTTTTTTTTTTTTAAGATTTATTTATTTGACAGACAAGAGATCACAAGTAGGCAGAGAGGCAGAGGAGGAAGCAGGCTCCCTGCTGAGCAGAGAGTCCAATGCGGGGCTCGATCCCAGGACCCTGGGATCACGACCTGAGTCAAAGGCAGAGGTTTTAACCCACTGAGCCACCCAGGTGCCCCTCTTGGGCCATCTTTATCTTCCATATCTCTCCACAAACTATTGTGGACACCATCCTATAGCCCCTTCATCTTAAATGGCCATCGTTTATGGAAGGACCTTCCCTGTGTGCTTGGCTGCTGGAGTCATTTTGTAATCTGCTTCTCAAACTTTTCAGACTTCTAAGTAAGGGCAAGAAGTAGGTTAGCCCCCTTTCTCTGTGTGTGTTAATATCATCCTCTTTTCTCTCTATAGTTGTAGACAGCAAAACGGAGTCTCTCATGTCAAGCAAGAGTCTGTGTCGCAATGACACAAGCGATTAAGGTACTGCAGCAAGGAGATACTGCCGGGAGCAATGTCAGCTGATAACCCAGAACCGATAAGGAGCAGAACCAGAATAGGGCTGCAGAGACCCAAAACTGATGAAATCCCCTTAAAAGGAGAAGTATTTTGGCAGCAAACTGGCAGACCCTTCAGACCTGACCCCTCCATATATGACCACTTAAAAAAGGCAACTACCACCTAAAGCTCTGACAGATTGATCTTTGAATGGAACTTGGAGCCTTCCCTACTTGAACATCAGAAGCAGTAAGTGCCAAGAGCTGACCCAGGCCAGAGGGAGGCCTCATCTCAACTGCCCCCCCCACAGACTGACTCGGCCTTTCCTTCCTTAGCTTCCTGCACCCTTCTGCCATCTTGTTTGTTGTGTGGCTTGTCTTCTGTGCTGCTTTGTGTACTGTGTAAGAAGCCAAGTTTAAACACATCATGAATCGTTATTGAGTTTAGAATCCTAAACCTGCTTTATAATTGTGATTTAACTTTGCTTTCTAGCTGAATAAAGCTGACCTCGTGAAAAGACACACCTCATGTGTGCACCTTCATAGATCGCGTCCTCGTTCTGATAGCTCTTATCTGTGCTGGCAAGAGAGTCCCTTTGGATCCCCCTTTGGAAACTGTCTTCTGTTGTCAAAATTCCAAGAACTTTTCTGCACAGCCCCCTACCCAAATGCCCCCGTGTAGCATACATCTCCGTGTTACAGTCTTTCGTCGACAAAGTGCAAGAACTAGGGTTTAGTCCTGTCCAGCGGTTCTCCCCGGGGAGATCCCTGGGCCAGCCGCATCAGGATCAACTTGTGAGAAATGCAAATTCTCGGGCCCTGTCCCAGAGGGACTGAGCGAGAAACACCACGCAAGACAGGTGATTCTGATGTGCCCTAAAATCGGAGAGCCGCTTCCAGCAGCAACGTACTCGCCCACTTTCTGAGAGGATTTTGCACTTTCTCCTTCAGCCTCAGTGGCCCCTCCCCCCAAAACACTCACAACCTCTTAGATTCTCAGTTCCCTGAGAAAATCTGACGAGAACTTGCCTGTGCTCCCACGCCCAGGCACCTGAGAAACCGGGCTCCCTCCCTGCCGCAGTGTCCCCACGTCCCGCCCGGACGCTCGGACACTCACCGGTCCTGCCCCGCTCTGTGTAGCGGCCGCGCGCGCCGCGCCTGCTCGGGCGCCTGAGCGCCTGAGCGCCTGCGCGCGTCTGGGTCTCCCTTCCTGTCGGGTCGTTCCCGCCCGTACCTCGTGTCTCCTTTCTTGCTTTGGAAAAAGAGAACTAAAGAAAGAAAAAAAGAACCGCTCCCTTTCCTCCACATCCGCCTTCAGCTACTGTTCATTTCTGGGATCCCCGTGAAGCAGAACTTCACAGGCTTGTTTCGGACCCAGCGACTTGCACGCGGGAGGCTGTGCGTGACCCGCGGTGCCGGGAACCGGAAAGCATGCGCGTGAACTTAGTGGGGGGTGGGGCGGGGAGACCGCTGCCGTTCGAAGCAAACAAGAGAAACTGGCGGGAGATGCCACCGGCTTTTTAAGAGGAGCATATTCGTTATTAAGGAAGAACAGACTTCTATACTGCTCCCTTCCAACTTAAGGGGACTGATGTGCCAAACAGTTTGATCTTCCTGGAAGAAAGACTAATTTCTCAGCTTCCGTGGGGGCTCTGCGCTACTCAAGGGCAGATACCCTGAGAGAATGGTCCTTTGTGTAGAAAGGAGGCTTAATGAGGGTAAGGATTTACCAAAGGAGGCTTTCAGGAGTTCAGAGTAGTGAAGAGTGGAAGAAAACTGTTCTACATCAGAATGAGCAGTGTATTACTTTGCCAGGGCTGCCCTAACAAAGTAAAACAGATCTGGGGGGAGGGGGTATTCAATAACAGGCATTTCTTTTCTCACAGTTCTGGAGATAAGAAGTCCCAGATCAGTGTGTCGACAGGGTTGGCTTCTTCTGAGGCCTCTCACTGGCTTGTAGATGGCCATTTTCTCCCTCTGTCTTCACATGGTCTTTATTTTGTGTGTGCTTGTGTCCTAACTTCCTCTTCTTATAAGGACACCAGTCATTCTGAATTAGGACCCAATTTCCTGACCTCATTTTAACTGCCTCGTTTAAGACCCTATCTCCTTCTGTCACCGGCTTATTTCATTTAGCAGGACATCCTCCAGGTTCATCCACACAAACCTGGATTTGGTTGTTGCGTATGGTAGGACATCCTTTTTTCAAAGGCTGAATCATATTCCATTGCATGCTTATGTTGGAGGTCATCAAGAGGATGTGACTGCCAGTTAACCCATGAGCTGGGCCTGAGCATCTCACAGCCCTCCCCTGTCCTTGGAATGTGGGTTCTGCTTGCCTTCCCTGTTCTCAGAGGCTTCCCCAGGGACATGAACTGGTGACAATGACGTGGTATTGAGACCATCTGGATGGTAGATATGACTGAACCTAATTAAGCTTCTATATAAATTTGACTGATTTCGCAGGCAGGTGTGGAAATCTGCTCATCTTGCAGCCTTCAAAGACAAGCCTTGTGTGTTAGTTCTGTGCTTGTTAAACTCTGCCACCTACCAGCACGAAGTGGCCTGCCTCTTCCTTCCCTCTCTCCCTGCCTTTCACTACAGGGGGCCAGTTTCACATTTCACCAGGGAAGTTCCCAAGGAGCTTGCAAATCACCAGTATATACCACATTTTCTTTATCCATTCATCCACCAATGGGCACTTCAGTTGTTTCTGTATTTTGGCTATTGTAAATAATGCTGCAATGAACATGAAAGCAAAGATATCTCTTTGAGATCCTGATGTCAATTCATTTGAGTTAATACCCAAAAGTGGAATTGCTGAATTATATTGTAGTTCTATTTTTAATTTTGTTGAGTTACTCCCCTCCCATACTGCTTTTCATAACAGCTGTATCAGTTTTACATTCCAACCAACATCATATGAGGGTTCCAGTTTCTCCACATCCTCACCAACACTTTTCTTTTCCTTCCTCTCTCTCTCTCTTTTTTTTTTTTTTTTTTTGGTAATAGCCAACCTAATAGGTGGGAGGTGATATCTCATTATGATGCCATTTTATCAAGTGTCCAAAAGAGTCAAATTCACAGAAGCAGAGTAGAATGGTGGCTAGCAGGGGTTGGAGGGAAGAGGAAATGGGGAGTTGTTGCTCAATGAGTATCAACTTTCAGTCATGCAAGATGAATACATTCTAGTGATCTGTTGTACAACATAGTGTCTGTAGTTAACAATATTGTAATACACACTGAAAAATGTGTTAAGAGGGTAAACCTCAAGACTGTTATGTGACAGTGTAATAAGCATGTACATTATCAGTCTCTGTGTTTTGGAGACTCTGTTATTATTGGCAGTCTTGCTGTCACCCTAACTAACAAAGACAGTGAAATATCTTCATGATTTCAGGATGAGTGTATTTTTTAAACTCTTGTGAAAACTATATAACTTAAAAGTCAGAAAATTGGTATAATTAACCTTTGTAGTCATCTGGTTTTAGACTTTACCAACTTTTCACCACATTTACTCCATCTATTTTTTTCCCAAGGATATATTTTTTTAAGATTTATTTATTTATTTATTTATTTGACAGAGATCACAACTACACAGAGAGGCAGACAGAGAGAGAGGAAGGGAAGCAGGCTCCCCACTGAGCAGAGAGCCCGATTCAGGGCTCGATTCCAGGACCCTGGGATCAAGACCCAAGCCGAAGGCAGAGGCTTTAACCCACTGAGCCACCCAGGTGCCCCTTCCAAGGATTTTTTTTTTTAAAGATTTTATTGATTTATTTATTTGAGGGAGAGAAAGAGCAGGAGCATCAGTGGAGGGAGAGGCAGAGAGGATGGGAGAGAGAGAATCTCAAGCAGATGCTGTGCTGAGTGCAGAGCCTGACTTGGGGCTCCATCTCAGGAACCTGAGATCATGACTTGAGCCAAAATCAAGAGTCAGATGCACAACCAACTGAGCCACTCAGGCACCCCTCCAAGGATCTTTAAGAAGAGGCATGTTGTTGTTTTTTTTAAAAGATATTTATTTATTTATTTATTTATTTGACAGAGAGATCACAAATAGGCAGAGGCAGGCAGAGAGAGAGGGAGAAGCAGGCTCCCCGCTGAGCAGAGAGCCCGATATGGGGCTCTATCCCAGGACCCTGGGACCATGACCTGAGCTGAAGGCAGAGGCTTAACCCACTGAGCCACCCGGGTGCCCCAAGAAGAGGCATGTTTTATGTTAAATCATCTGCTGTGCTCTTTGGCACTGTACAACTGTTAGTTATCTTAAATTTTGACAAATGTGTGCTACATGTGAACTTCTTTCATTGGTGACAAAATCAAGGAAGTGTGTGCTGTTTTTCCCTTATGAGTCACCAAAGGATAGAAAGAAGAGAAGAACCATAGAAGAGGAATGGGAGGTTGACTGAGAGTTTAGCAGGACCAGGAAGTCTGAGCAAGGAGCAAACACAGCAATGGATGCAGCTTGAGGTTTGCAGAAATCTTGAGAAAGGCACGGGACTTTGCACAGTGTAGGATAGAGACTCAAGCCACCTCTGTTTAAACATTAAATATATAAGCAACTACACAGCTAGAGGACTTAGGGACACCAAGATGACAGCCAGCATGAGTTTAGCATACATACTGATGACAGAGTGGACCTAGTACTGTACACCTGAGCACCATACCAACTTTGGTATTTAAGCCCAGAATATCATCCCAGAACAAGAGAAAAGCAAAATAAATGGGGCACATGTATGCAACTCCTTTTAGTCCATAGACCTGTAATCTAGAATTGTATCTGGTGCTCTTCACCTGGGTCTGCACTGAACCTTCCTCTGCCTTTGCAATTACTGACCCTCAGCTTCTGCCTCTACCTCTGCCACAGCCAGGAGGTGGGCAGCTGTCTAAGAGGCTGATCTTCCACCTGCTTGTGAAATGTTTAATTTGCCATATTTGACCAATTTTTCTCCCAGTTGGGAGTAAATAAGTCCACCAGGAGCTCTTGGGAATAATCCCAACAGATCATGAATATTTTTATTTCTTGATATTTACTGAACCCAAAATGATGCAGCTTGCACCCTGATACAAAAACCCAGGACGAAATATCCAAATGGAAGCATGATGTGTCCTAGAGGCAGGTGGTGGCCTGGTAGCACAGGGGTGCTGTTTTTTTTTTTTTTTAATATATATTTTTTAAGATTTTTTTTATTTATTTGACAGAGATCACAAGTAGGCAGACAGGCAGGCAGAGAGAGAGGAAGGGAAACAGGCTCCCCGCTGAGCAGAGAGCCCGACGGTGGGGCTCAATCCCAGGACCCTGGGATCATGACCTGAGCCGAAGGCAGAGGCTTTAACCCACTGAGCCACCTAGGTGCCCCAGGGGTGCTGGTTTTTAAGGATGTATTTTTCATGGTTTGCAGGCTTTCCTACTTGGGGCTATAAGTCCATAACTGGATGCCTCTTGTGTCTGATTTTGAAATCTTAAACCTATTCCCTCCTATGAGAAACACCCTAGATTCTGAGCTAGCTCTCCATCTGCACATGCATCTCAAGGTGGGGAGCCAAAGGCTGTGACAGGGTTTTCAGCGTACGTGGCTAACCTGCCATAGTTAAAATCAACTGGGAAAACTAGAAATTCAGGAGGTTATTGTGTTGTCACAATGCCCATGAATTGGGTTGGGGGACTATATGAAAATGGAAGAATATTTTTGGTTTGGCAGTAATTGATAGTGTCATTTGGCAGGAAGTGTCTCAAATTCGCTTATTCAAATTCACTTCTATTTAAGCTAGTCTGTAGAGCCTGAGTAGAGGATCAGAATGTACAGACGGAATTCTTGGCAAAATCTCTGGAAACTTCTAGGATTATCTGGATTCTATAGGGGTCTGGTCTTTCACTGCTCTTGACTATTTTGCAAGTCTATAGAAACTGAAGTTAATTTGTAAAAGGCTGAAGATGATGCAGGTAATTCCCATTCTTAGAAATGCAAATGAATTTTGTCCAATGAGGATGCATCAGTTTCTACTTAGCGGAAGAGGCCAGTTTTGCCTTTATCAGCAAATTCAGTTCACTATTCTGGATTGCCTGTAAATAAATGTCTTTTTCCTTGGAATCTCCTTTGAACCAGTTTTTACTTCTCATTAATTTCCTCATTAAGTAATGAGTGAAATAAAATCTTTGACACAAATTCATTTTATATTTGTATGAGTCACATTTCTAAAAATTACCTTTTAGGACTCTGATTTTCCAGCAACTTAGTTTATTTCAAAAGTGAGGGGAGTGAGGGGAGAACCCTGAATTTCTGACTGAACATTTATCCAGAAGTGACTGATTGAATGAGCCACTTGAAAAAACAAGATAATGTTTACACTTATTCCTGGATATAGAAGTTCTAGATTTGGATTGGTTTCAGAATAGAGTTATAAAAAGTATTTTATGTCTGCACATCCAAATTTGAGGACTGCTGTGATTCTCCTTTTTTTTAATCTTTTTAACTTTTTCACTTATGTAACAAAAAAATGGTAATAACAGATGTGTTAGGCTTAAGAAAGAGAATGGAAACTTGAACACCATTGGATATCACTCTGTCTCTGATTCCATCTTCCCCACCCCCACCCCCTACCTCTCTCTCCAGCACCTGTTCCCGTGTTAATTTCACTCTCCCAGGCTGGCTTCTCACCAGTTGTGGTCTGGCTGCTAGCATCTCAGCATCTCTTACTCATATCCTCTGTGGAAAAAAACAAGAGCACCATTAGCATAAGTCTTTTTTCAAAACTGTTGGCATGAGAAGGAGAAGGAGCCTTTTAACTTGGGAAGAAGGGTGGAATTTTTTATAGGGTTTCAGCAGGCAGGGTCACCTGAAGTTCAGCTAGTTTCAAGAATATTTGTTCAAAGATGGTACTCAGGGAAGGGAGGAATTATTCTGATTAATTAGCAGCCATTATATGGACAATTCGGATTTTACTAAGAGAAGTGGAAGGAACAGTGAGGGGCTGAGGTCATGTGCAAGAGGGTGTGCAATCTACAGTGACAAGGACATGGAGGGCCACAGTAGAAACTGTATAGTTTCTATAAGGAAACTATATAGAAACTTCAGTATCTCTTAGACCTTACAGTCCTCAGATCACAGACACCCTTTTTCCCACATGCAGTTGGCTAAATCTTAGGGAAGGATTTTGATTGATCGTGCCTATCTCTGGACGACTTACTGTGCTCAGGGAGTGGAGTCAAGAATGAAGAGGATGTATCCAGGCAGATCCAAAGACTATAGCAGGGTAGGAGCAGGAGGGAGTAGCCCAGGCCTGGCCCATGGGGTCATCAGGAGGGAGTAGCCCAGTCCATGGCCCATGGGGACTGTGAGCAGGACAGTCCACCCTCCATCTTCATTTATGGTCACAAAAGCTTCCTTTTCTTCCTCCCAGGGAAACAGCTCAATTTTGCCTTTAGGGAACACTGCCTAGGGGAGGACCACTCAGAGAACTTTTTGCTAAATGAGTATGGGGAGCAAGCCCAGGGGAAAGGAAAGCCTCTTCTGAGAGCATTCTAGTGCAAAAGGCTGACACAGCCCTGATGCCCAGATTTCTTCTGAAAGCCTTAAAACTTTCTAAATGATCACCATGGTCACTTACAGAAGATAGACAAGTTTGGTTTAAATAAAATCCCAACATTGGCAATGCTCCCTGTCTCTTCATTCTTTTCTATTTCCCCTTTCAGGTGTCCAGTGCCCATGGCCCCTTCTTTCCTATTGTAGAGCCCAGGGCAGGCTGCCCCAAGATGGACCACTGTGGCAAAAAAAGATTATTTTGAGTTAAAAGTAATCAAAACCCAACAGATGCAGGAAAAACTCTCTGCCTCCCCCTCAGCTGCCTAAATTTATATAGGAAAGGAGAACCTGTACCAGAGAGCTATTAACAGAGATTCTCTTTACCTAAAAAACTTGTCTGCATAATAGAACAACCTTGCTTTTCCAAACACTCTTTTCACCTTACTCCCCTTTGTATCCTCAGACCCTACCCCTCTTTAGCTCATATAAGTTCCATGTTGCCTCATTGTCTTTGGAATTTCATGTTTGTGTGGATTTCCATACATATGCCTATTAAATATGATTTGCTCCTGTTAATCTGTCCCATGTCAATTTGATCCTATCCAGCTAGAAGGACCTTGTAGGACAGATGAAGATCTTCCTTCCTAACACTAAAAATAAGACAGATACGCCCTATGAACATAGTTAAAATAATTAAGATTCAGGGGAAGGAAATATCTGTCCTTAGCATTTTTATTTTGTTAGAAGAACAAGTTGGTGACATACCATGGACTTTAAAGTCCAAATCCCCAGAATCTGAATCTTGACTTCCCATTTAATTGCTCCATGACTGTGGGCAAATACTTAACCTCAAAAAGTTCCAGTTTTTTCATCTGGGAAATGAGGAATAACGCCTACCTCAAAATTTAAAGGTATCATGGATGTAAAGAACATATGGAATATATTAAAATCCAATTACTATCATTTTTTGTGATGATGATGGTGATAATTAGGAAGGCATTAAAACCTACTCATTTCTATGTTTTCATCCCTCATTACTATTTTTTAAATAGAATTTCAGGATTAGAAGGGAATTCACAGATGACTTCAGCCAGTGGTCAAGCCTCTCTAAAGAGATCTTAGTTGCTCCAGGGCCAGCAAGGGGTGTGTGTGTGTGTGTGTGTGTGTGTGTCTGTGTCTGGATCTGTGTATGTTGATGGGATGTGATGATTAAGCAGAATGTGACATCAAGAAATTATCAACATTAAAAAAAAAAAGAAATTATCAACATTAACACTGATTACAGATACTGGTGAATTAGCAGTGTAGAAAGGGGAAATGAAATTTGGCTTAGCTGTGAAAAAGTAATACTAATTACAGTAATTTACATTAGCCCCTTACCATTTATGCTTAATTACCATGCTGTACAATCATAATTATATGTGTCATTAAATATATGCCCAGTTAACGTCCATGTAAGTTGTCTTGATTAGAATCAACATCTCTAGTCCACTTAGACACCTGTTCAGAGATATATTGCTTAAAGTTATTGCTACTTTGGGGGCTAACAAGAGGGACTTTCTCAAACTAGGGAAAGCAGTTTTCTCTATCATATCCTAAAGTAGGAGGAGGCACAAACAATCCGAGGTTTTTCCTCCTCTACTTCCCCATCAGAAGGTCTTCAGAGTGCCCAGGGAGTTCATCTCACCCGACCTGAGGACACACACACACACACACACACACACACACACACAGAGCAACAGGTAGCAATAGAGAGATACAGAGATAAATAAAGACATGCAAACCAAGAAACAAGGTGACAGTCAGTAAGACATGCAGGAGATTCAGAGAGTCAGAGAGGTGGCAACAGAGAAGAAAGTAGACAGAGATAGAGAGATAAAAAGGGGAGGGTAAAGGCACAGACAGAGTCAATTCAGCAAGAATGAATTCACATGCCTTCTCAGACTCAGTTGATTTTCTCTGATAATTTATGAGACAAAATATTTCCTGGAAGTAGACCCAGACAATCATAGCATTCCTCATTGTCGTGGATGGTGATGAAACAGGAAGAACAAGGTGAAAAGAAATGGAAGGTAGAGAGAAGAGAGACAGAGAAGACAATAGAAAAACAGAGACATGGGGAAAGACAGACAGACATGGAGAGGGGATGAAGGAAAAGGAAGAAGGGTATGAGGGGGTTCATGAGTCTGCTGGACGCTCAGTCTGTGCCATGATGTGGAGACAGAGAAATGTGGGGGAATGCATTCATGTCCTCTTCGTTGTGCTAAAATTTCCATGTCCTTAATGCGCAGTGTGGAGATGATTTGTTTATTGGGCATCTACTATGTACCTGGAACCAGGCTGAGTGCTTTCACCTATATTCATCATTGAATCCTCAAAATGACACTAGTTGCCAGGTACTATCATGATACCCATATTATGGAAAAGGAAACAGAGGTATGTAACTTGCCCAAAGTAACTCAGGTAGTAAGTGAGATTCAAATCCTGTCATCTCCCTGTACAGCCTATGTTCTCAGCCATGACATAGCATCAGCAAAGCCAGTTATGTAATAAACAATTGTTAAGGGATCCATGATTTAAAAACATTCTTGCTTGGGGCACCTGGCTGGTTCAGTCAGTAGAACATGTGACTCTTGATCTTGGGGTTGTGAGTTCGAGCCCCATGTTGGGGATAGAGATTACTTTAAAATCTTTTTAAAAAACAAAAATAAATAAAAAATTCTTGCTTAATTATAATTTATTTTAAAGTAACTTAATATGCAAATCAATCAACATTTCCAGAATATAACATTTTCATTTCCATGAATACTTCCTTGTCAACTCAGCAAGAGAAGCAAGGGCAGAATTCCAGTGTTGTGGTTGAAAATAAACAAATAGGGGTGCCTGGGTGGCTCAGTGGGTTAAAGCCTCTGCCTTCGGCTCAGGTCATGATCCCAGGGTCCTGGGATCGAGCCCTGCGTCGGGCTCTCTGCTCCGCAGGGAGCCTGCTTCCTCCCCCCTCTCTCTCTGCCTGCCTCTCTGCCTACTTGTGGTCTCTCTCTCACTCTCTCTGTCAAATAAATAAAATCTTTAAAAAAAAAAAAAAAAAGAAAAGAAACAAATAGAAGCCTCCAGGGGTCTCTACTACTTCATGATTTTTCACACAGCAAGATGGGCAGATCCCAGTGTCCTTCCTCCACGGGTCCTACTTCCACAGTGACTTTGGGTTCTGTTGCTTTTCCACTAGGAGACCTTGAAGGGACTGGCATTTGGTTTCTCAGTGACTCGTTTCCCCTGTGGAAACTTATGTAAAATATCTTCATCGGATTTCTGATCTGTTAATAAATAATGATAATTTGTAGAAGAGCTCATTTGGTTATCATCCTTGGAGATTAATTGGGTAATTAATTTTAGCTAAGCACATATGAAATATCAAGTGCCTCATATGTCTTCAGGATTTATGCTCCCGTGTTCTTATGAGGCCTGCAGGCCAGAGATTCTCTGCTTCGAGATGAGAAGCTGATTATGAATGTCTCCAATCAAGGCTGTTTCTCACTAGATTGAGCCAACCCCCCTCAAGAACTCATTGGGGAAGGCAGACAATTGTCAGGGTCATTTTTCCTTGCCAGACTGGGACTCTGGAGCTCTGAGCTGCAAATCGAAAGGAACTGGCTTCCTGGTTGCTCCAATGCAGATAATCTATGCACCATCTTGAGCACAGTAGGGGGCATCTTTTCTGGGAGCAGCGGTGGTCGTGAAAAGGTCTTCTTATGTCCATGGGCGCTCCAGGGGATACTGGTGCGACTGGAGCCCATGCCTCCTTTCTGTAACTGCTGACTTTTGAGCATACTGACAGCTAACACACAAAAAAAGGTTAAGAAGGTGACGATACTGGTTTGTGGTTAAGAGCATGAACTTTGGAGTCCTACAGGCTGGGTTTGAGCCTGGCATAACTGTGTCCCACCTACATGCTCACAGCATCCACCATTACTTCTGTGTGGAGAACAACTCAGTTAAACTTATATCACTGTAAAAATGACTATGCTAGAACCTTTAGAGAACTCAGTGATTGTGGTAGACTGAACCAAAAAGATCTGTCTGCAGTTAGGGGCACCTGGGTGGCTCAAATCAGTTAAGCGTCTGCCGTGAGCTTCTGTCACTACCTCAGGGTGCTGGGATCGAGTCCTGTGTTGGGCTTCCTGCTCAGTGGGGAGTCTGCCTCTTCCTCTGCCTCTCCCCCTGCTCATGCTCTCTTTCTCTCCCTCTCAAATAAATAAAGAAAATCTTTTTTTAAAAAATCTGTCCACATTCTAATTCCCCCCAAAACCTGTGAGTATTACCTTATATGGCAAAAAAAAAAAAAAAAAGTATTACCTAATATGGCAAACAATGGGACGATGTTAAGGATTTTTCAAGAGGGTGCTTATCCAGGATTATCCACAGGAGTTTAAATAATCCAGTGACAAGTGTCCTTATACGAATGAGGCAGAGGATGATTTGACAGAAGAGGCAGCAACAATGTGACCACGGAGGCAGACTGGAAGTGCTGTGGGCCACCGGAAGCTGGAAGGGTCAGGGGACAGATTCTCCCCTGGAGTCATCACAGGGAGCACAGCCCTATTGATTCTTTGGTTTTGGACTTCTGACCTCCAGAATACATTTCTGTGAGAGAATACATTTCTGTTTGTGACACACTTTGTGACAGCAGGCAAACTCATCCATGGCTCATGGGATGAGGTGAGTCCTAACAGGGAAACCAGTTTGGCTTCATACCTGTTACTGGTTTTGCAACAAAATAACAGTCTCTTAAATTCCATTGTTAAGCACTCTGGTTGATCTTAGAACTGCATTCACACAGCAACATCTCTTCAGGATAAAAACAGAGCAACCCAAAAGTCATCATTTACATTAAAGAGCTTAATTTATTACCTCTGAAATTTTCCCTCCCTTCATACTTTCCACAGTTGTGAAACATGTTCCTTTTAGTGCCAAGAACTATACTATATTTAGTTTACTTTGCTATGTGTTTACTCCCGCACCAGAACACACACACTCACGTAGAGCTCAATGACTGCATGCACGGTTTAGCTACAGCACCACTACACAGGTCAGACTTCAGCTGGGCATTCTTCTGTTGATACTGCGGGCACTAAACCTGTTTGGAAGAAATCCAAACGCGTATTACAGAAAAAGTCAATGTTTTGGCCTCCATTAAAGTTCCTGCATGAAAGCATACCTTTTTTAACTCAGATGTATTGAGATGTGATTTACATAGAGTAAAACTTAACCTTTCTTTAGTCTACAGTTCTGAGTTTGAACAGACACCTAGAGTCTTAAACCACCCCATGATCAAGATACAGAACAGTCCATCATCCCAAAAAGTTCTTTCACAGCCCTTTGTAGTCAGCTCTCTTCCCTGGCTACCAGTGAACTCATGACAGGCACAGATAAGCAGAGCAGAGGTTGGCCTCTGGCTACCACTCCTGCCCTCCACACGGAGCTGCCTCTGCCTTGGCCACACCAGCCTGACAGGTTCCTTGTGCTCTCCGTGCTCCCACCCACAAGGTCTACCTCTATCGTCCCTTTCAGCTAGAACACACTTCTCTGTCTTCTGCACCTAGGTTACCCCTACTCATCCTTGAAATCTCAGCATTGACACCTTTTCCTCAAAGAAGCCTTTCCTGAGTAGCTCCAGTCCCTCTACATTGTACTGAGCACAGCGATTTTATATTTGTGTATTCTTTGATTAATGTCTATCTTCCCCTTAAACTTCGAGTTTCGTAAGGGCAGGGACCATGATCTTATGCTTAGCTTATAGTACGATCATAGGTATCCAATAAAGACTAAGTACATGCATAGATACCTTGAAACCAGCAATGTTCTAGGGGGTTGCTTTTGATTCTTTAATAAAAAAATCTTTGATTTTTTTTTTTTGATGTGATGATCTTAAACCATAAATCCTTTGACATTCCTCCCTCCAAAAGGTGGACTCTAATTCCCCTCCCACTGACTCAGTGACTTACTTCTAATGAATAGAATGCAGCAGAAGTGACAGCATCATAGAAGGCACTGCACCTTCTCCTTGCTACCCCCGGGGTCTCTCAGTCATGGGGCAGGGGATGCCAGTTGCCATGTCATGTAGACATGTGAGAGCAGCCTTATGAAAAAGCCCACGTAGTGAGTTACTGAGGCCTTCTGCCAACAGCCACGTCAGTGAGGGAATTGGATCCTTCAGCCCCTGTCAAGCCTCTGGGACTGCAGTCCTGGCCCAAGTCTTCACTGCACCCTCAAGAAAGACCCTGAGCCGGAACAATCCAGCTAAGCCCCTCCCATATTTCTACCCCGGGAAACTGTGTGAGATGTTTGCTGTTTCAGGCTGCGAAGTTGGAGGATCATTTGTTACACAACAGTAGCTGAAAGAACTGATAGGGGAAATAAAGAACAGCAAGTGGAGGTGACTTGTTCAAGGTCACACAACCAGTCAATGGTAGGTGCAGGATCCCTGCACAGGTCGTGTGGCTCCGAAGGGCATGTTCTGTGTCCCACACTGCGTTGCCTCCTCAAGATGCTTAGCCTGGCAAATGCAAAATCATCCGGCTGCAAGTATAAAATCTTTGCAAATTGGTTCATGTTACAGTTTTAGGAGGTTGCTTTGCGGAATGCCAAAGAAGCTGCTGACTGGAGGAGTTTCTGGAGAATGGTAAGTAAAAAGGCAATTCTAATGAAGAAGTTATACTGGATTGAACTATTTAGTCTTGGCGAAGACAATTTGTTGGAAGAGTAGATTGAGGCAAGTTTGTTAGAAATTAAAAAAGAGATAACTGGGGCGCCTGGGTGGCTCAGTGGGTTAAGCCTCTGCCTTCAGCTCAGGTCGTGATCTCGGGGTTCTGGGATCGAGTCCCACATCGGGCTCTCTGCTCACAGGGAGCCTGCTTCCCCCTCTCTCTCTGCCTGCCTCTCTGCCTACTTGTGATCTCTCTCTGGTCAAATAAATAAATAAAATCTTAAAAAAAAAAAAAAGAGATAACTTAAAAGTTGTTTTTCTTGGGGTGCCTGGGTGGCTCAGTAGGTTAAAGCCTCTGCCTTCGGCTCGTCATGATCCCAGGGTCCTGGGATTGAGCCCCATGTTGGGCTCTCTGCTCAGCGGGGAGACTGCTTCCTCCTCTCTCTCTCTCTCTGCCTGCCTCTCTGCCTACTTGTGATCTCTGTCAATTAAATAAATAAAATCTTAAAAAAAAAAAGTTGTTTTTCTTTAGCTCATTATTATGGTATTGTAAACCAGTTTTCACACAGTATAAATGCATTTTCCTAGAATGCTCATATTTTATATATCCAATATATTTATGTGTTTAATATTTCACATATTACACATCTTTAATAGTGTAAATATTTGTAAATATATTTGTAAATAGTGTAAATATTTAGTATATATGTGAAGGAATTACTGAAATTCAGTATTTTAAAAAAGATTTTATTTATTTATTTGTCAGAGAGAGATCATGAGCACAAGCAGGGAGACAGCAGACAGAGGAAGAAGCAGACTCCCGGCTGAGCAGGGAGCTTGATGTGGTACTTGATCCCAGGACCCCAGGATCATGACCCAAGCCGAAGGCAGAGGCTTAACTGACTGAGCCATCCAGGTGTCCCTTAAATACAGTATTTTGCTCATATTTCCTAGTTAACATTCCAAAGGCTCGTGCCTTGCAGTAGGCAAAGATTTCTTAAATAGGACACAAAAGCATGAATCTCAACATATAAGCTTAATTAGCCATTGCAAGCTATTTATCTGCATGGTGCCCAGTGGTATTGCTGTCTATGCTGATTAGACTGAATATCTTCAACCCATCACTCTAGAATGATTGACTCATTTCCCTTTCTCCTCTTATGCCTTTCCTTTTCCCAAATTAATAAAACATTCCTTTCATCTAATCACTCCACTCACTTTTATTGTCTTTCTTCATTAAAGCATTGTCACTAGTTCCCTCCTCACGAGTACTGGACTCTTTAAGCTACTTTATGTTGAGGTCTCCTGGCACTAGGATGCAGGAATGTTGCTGGGCCATGAAAAGGCCCGCAAGTGTGAACCAGAGAGATGTCTCTCCATCTGTTGTCAGCGATCCCGTCTTCATGTCTGTGGAGATTTGAGAATTGCTATTCAGTGGCAAACAACATGGAACACTTTCGTTTTCCCAATAACTTTGCTTTCAAGAATCTCAATTCACTCTGGAGCTGGAAAAAATTTAATTATGCCAAGTAGCAGCTCCTGGGTCTCTTTGGCTAAATTAAGCCCATTCCAGTGCTTGTCTTTAGAGTGGATTACTAAAATCTCAGCCTCCTGTCCAGTTTACAGCCCATCCCCTCAGTGGGAGCTCAGCTGTCTATGATATGGTGCTTGGCCTCTCTTCTCTATTCCTCTTGGGGCCTGCTTCCCACTGGTTGGATGAGTGGGGAAAGGGTTCAGGCATGTGAGCATGTGAGTGCTGGCACACTGGGGGTGACCATGGGGACACTGAGCAGGTCCAGTTGTTCCCTGTGGCTACTTTACCTACCACTGGCTACAAAATGCTGGTGTTGTCTGTGGCTGGGATGGGACTTTTGGGGACCCAATAAATAACCCCCCTTCCACTGGGAGGCAAACGTGGGACTCAGGCTACAGGAGACAGGAACACCATGGCAACTCCTGATAATGCTTCTACTGGCCTGCAGGGCTTATGGAGCTAAACACAGCAGGTAGGTCAATGCTCCATCTCTGCATCGGACAGATGGACCCAGTCATGGCTCCCAACACTGCCACTTTCTCTTATGGCCCTGCAGGGGTGAAGGTGACCATGCTTCCTTTCTCACAGCCAAGAGGGAGAAAGACAGTGCTGAGTGAACACATACAGTTCCTCTACCCCCAATCACCAATTGGCCAAATCCCTCTGCCTCCTGGGATGGGGAGGGTGTGAAACTAGAGGCTGAGAGAAGTCTCAACCAAATAGGGCAAAACCAATCAGAATGCACATGTATGAATATGCATGCACATTTTAATTTAATTTTATAAGCAATATAATGAAAGATATGGAAGGATACCTGGTAGGTGGCTCACAGCATTGCCCAGTTTGGGGGGTGGTGGGTGGGATATAATGTGAAAGCAGGAGAAGAGAGTATAGAGATAAGCCAAACAGGAAAAAAAAAATCACCAAGAAATAGTATGTACGGTGTGATCACTGTATATTTATGTGTGTGTGTGTATGTGTGTATATTTGCCTTAAGAAGTGATACTCAAGGGCACCTGTGTGGCTCAGTGGGTTGGGCCTCTGCCTTCGGCTCGGGTCATGGTCTCGGGGTCTTAGGATCAAGTCCTGCATTGGGCTCTCTCCTTGGCGGGGAGCCTGCTTCCTCCTCTCTCTCTCTCTGCCTGCTTCTCTACCTACTTGTGATCTCTGTCTGTCAAGTAAATAAATAAAGTAAAAAAAAAAAAAAAAAGAAAAGAAGTGATACTCAAAATTCTTCAACCTGTATAGCATGGTTCATACCCCCCCAGTTAAAGTAGACACCAAAGAACTGGGGCAGAATCCCTGAAAATTCTCTCACTGAACCAGGCATTCATCTGGAGTGGAGGGTGGCCCAAGGGGTTTTGGGAGAGAGACTGGGAGACCAGGGTGGTAGGATGGGATTTGGGGGCTGAGGGTGGTAGCCCTTGAGACGCTCAAGGCAGTAGCTATTCACTAACCCAATTCAGAAGCACTTCAATGTTTTGACAACATGTCCAGCTCTATCAATGCATTCTACTTGAATAACACACTTGTTGACTTACTCATAAGTTAAGGTCAAATTCTTAAACTGTAATAGGAAAGTTTCCTTCCTATGCTATGTTATCTAATTCAACTGGGAACAGGCACCGCTCATATGAAGAAAACCTGAATTCTGGGGGCCAGAGGAGCCACTTCAAAGCTTCACTCAAATGACTGGAAAGTTGAGGCTTGGCTGTTGGCTGGAAACCTCAACAGGGCTGTGGATTAGGGCCTTGGTTCTTCTCCATCTGGGCCTCTCCTCAGGCTGCTTGTGCTTCCTTTCAGCATGGTGGTTGGGTTCCAAGAGAAATCAGGAGGCGTCCGTTTATAATCAAAGAAGTCACATAGTGTCACTTCATTGTAATCTATTGGGCAGGGTAGTCACAGGGGCTCACCCACTTTTTAGGGGAGGGGACTAATACCCCACCCCTCCAGGGAAGGAGTGTTGAGGTCGTACTATAAGAAGAGTATATGGCAAGGAAGACACGGGAGGAAATACAATATGCTACAACACACTTCTGCTGTCTGTGATATCTACGGTCCATGTTGGCCTGGGTTCCAAAGGTCTCTGGTTTTATTCACGCTGCCACATGTAGGGAACAGATTAGCTAGTATAACCGAAAGATTGGAGGAAGAAGGAAAAAGTTAAAAATGCATAGGCAACCAAAATAAGAACTAAAGTGAACATTTGTGAAACTCCTACTTAACGTGGCAGGCGTTGTGCTAGGCGCCTCTCATAGATCCTTACTACTTTCAAGCTTTCAAGATCTTTATTAATTTATACCACAGTTGTGTGAGGTAGGTACTATCATTACCACTTGGCAGATAAGGAAATTAAGGCAGAAGAGCTATTTAGCAACTTGTCCAGCTATACAACCTGTAACTGACAGCAGGATGGCAATCCTGGGCTGCTTGACTTCAAGCACTATGTTCTTGCTACTATATTGTGCCTCTGAGAATAGAACATAAACACATTCTGTACAATGTTGCTATGTAGTTCATTTTGTTTCTTCTTCTACTTATATAAAAGATCCCCTTTTTTACCTCTCAAAAGGCTTAGAGTAAAATATGGCAAATAGTAGAGATGTATAAATGGGCTTCTCTTTTCCAAATAACTGACAAAGTCTTCTCAAGGAGCACATTAGATAACTTTCTTTTCAGTCAGTTCCCTAGTTATCATTTGTCCATGTAGGAATGTAGAAATTACTAGCTGGGGGATTAGATAAGAAACCCTTACTAGGGACGCCTGGGTGGCTCAGTTGGTTAAGCAGCTGCCTTCGGCTCAGGTCATGATCCCAGCGTCCTGGGATCGAGTCCTGCATCGGGCTCCTTGCTCGGCAGGGAGCCTGCTTCTCCCTCTGCCTCTGCCTGCCATTCTGTCTGCCTGTGCTCGCTCTCTCTCCCTCTCTCTCTCTGACAAATAAATAAAAAGAAAAAATCTTTAAAAAAAAAAAAAAAAGAAACCCTTACTAATTATTAAGCTAATTGTGTTATAAGGTAATGTAAATGTTAAGACATAGAGCGGAATTCAACATGGGAGTTTATTAAGTACAAAATTATGGGTACATTGTGATACAAGTGAAGTCCCAAGAAGCTTTGCATAAATGTACTTTGGGAATATGTATTAATATATTTTTTTAAAGATTTATTTATTTATTTAATTCGAGAGAGAGTGAGAGCGTTTGCACCTGGGGTTGAGAAGGGCAGAGGGAGAGGAAGGAGGAGAGCAGCAGACTCCCCACTGAGCATGGAGCCTGGGGTTCCATTTCATGACTCCGAGATCATGACCTGAGCCAAAATCAAGAGACACTTAACTGACTGAGCCACCCAAGCACCCCTGGAAGACATACTAATATTAGATGTACTAATATTAAATATACCATGGGACTCCCTGTTTAAAGAAAACGCACATTTCTCTTGTTGCAGCAGGGATTTCTCTAGAGTGGGACACAGATAATGGAGTTCATCATAATTAGAATGCCCCAGTCATTAACTAGGTGTGTTTAATCTGGGCATAAGGACCCCTGTTGCAATGATCAGGGAAGTTTTCACTGAGATACCTATTTATAATAAGATCTGGCATAGGTGATGGAGAGGATAAGAATGCCCCTCTTTCACCTGGTGCTAAATTCGAATACCCAGAGTGGTGGTGAATGACAGAGACTGAAAGGATGACACGTATTTTACCATAACCTAAACATAAATGCAATTCAACTATAACACAATATGTCATCAATTCTTGGGGCTACTGAGAGGCTTTTGACACTGACTTGGAAATTCAATTTCCCAGTGAGGCCTACTCTTTAAAATGAACAAATGATTGCATAGAATAGAAACATGCTAACTTACCTGGAAGAAACAGAATGGCTTCCAAGCTAGGAGAGCTCTGCAGTAATTTAGTATTTTCAGAAAGCACTGTGTCCACGAGAATTTAGGTAGAACTGAAAACAAACAAAAGTGGAGTCACTGGGGCAAATGTTGGTTGGGTCTATCTGATCATTGCCCAGGAGGAGGAAGCCTTAGTGCTAAGGACAGTATGGACCATTTTGGATGGTATGGTCCTATTCATTCATTCATTGAACTTTCTCAAGTGCCTCCCTGGCCAGGCATTATCTTACATGCTGGGAATATGGAAGTGAGTAAGTCAAAGTCCTCATGGAGTTCACATTCCAGTGGGGGAGGCAGTCAATACAAAAAAATAAACATATATACTAATAACATGAGGCCTGTGCTTCAAAAAACCTTCACAAGGTAGGAAGACAATGAATGAGGGAGATGATGAGAAAGGAATATGGTATTACTTTAGATGGAAAGGTCAAGAAAGGCATATCTGAGGTGACATTACGATAGAGATATTTGAATGAAGAAAGGAGGTGAGCCATATGAAGATTAGTGGGGTTAGATTGTTCTAAGTGAACAGAACAGCCAGTAGAAAGCTCAGAGGTTGGGGTGAACCTGTGTGTTCAAAGAACAGAAAGGCCAGTATGGGGAGTCATTAGTGCCATTTGCCAAAATGTTCTGGTGCTCTCTCCTTTTAGGCACAAAGTTGCATTATCTTGGTTCTTCTGTGGACGGGTAGGACTACACCTAGTGTGTTTTATTCTTATTTTGGACAGTGAGGCATGAGCAAAAATGACGTGCCATTTATGGACAGAGCCAGCATGCTGTCTAGAGCACTTTTTTCTGTCTCTGGCTTGATGATAAGTAATGCTTCAGACAGTGACTGCTCCAGCAACCACAATCTAAGAGGAAGACAACAAGGCAGGCAAGGTCCTTGGCTGACCCTCAAAAGACATAAATGCGAACAAAAAATACATTTTGTATTGTGTCAAGCTTCTTAGATTTGGAGTTGTTACTTCGGTCTGACATCACCTGTCCTGACCAATACCTGTCCTGGTCAATGTAACTGCTGGGGACAAAGCTAGAGGGAGGGAGGTAGATGTCATCTAAAGGATAAGCAGTGGACAGATAGCATAGAGCCTTGTAGATTATGGTACATTTGGGTTTCATTCCGTATGAAAGAAAAACTCTGGACCGAGTTTTGAGCAGGGGAATGACATGAAGATTTGCATTTGAAAAGAATCATTCAGTCATGTATGGGAAGTCCTTATTAGTGGGAAATACATAGTGAGGGTTTTAGGGATATAATGTCCTCAACTCGCTTTCGGTAAATGGTTCAGTAAAAATGTGTTTTAGTGTGTGTTGCTTATGTGCACATGAACAAGGAGTAAAATGGTAGTTGGTAAATCTAGATGAAGGGTAGGTAGGTGTTCATTGTATGCTTTTTAAACTTTTTTTGTAGGTTTAAATTTTTTTAAATAGGGGCCCTTGGTGGTTGAGTTGGTTGAGCGTCTGACTCTTGATTTTGGCTCAGGTCGTGATCCGGGGGTTGTGCGACAGAGTCTCTCGTGGGGCTGAAGTCTGCTTCAGATTCTCCCTCCCCCTTCTCTGCCCCTCCCTAGCTATACATGCCCACATGCTCTCTCATAAGTAAATCTAAAAAGCTTGGGGGATATCACTCTAGGGAGGTGCAAGATGGGATAGAAGAAAAGGCCAGGAAGGCTGCTGTGGGTAAGAGATGTGGGTAAGAGATGAGGTGATTTGGGCTGGAACAACAATTTTGAGAAATGGGTGGCTTTGAAATCTAATTTCTGTGTGGAGCCAGAAGGACTTGCTGATAGACTGGCAATGGGATGTGAAGTAAAGTTTAGAGTCAAGGTGTCTCTTAGGTCTTTGTCCCGAGCATGTGGGAGAGTGGTAGATGCCATTAACTGAGACAGGACAGCAGGGGAGAGCCAGCTTTAGGAGATGGGAAATAGCAATTCTGTTCTGGATAAGTTAAGGGTGAGTCTCCGAGTAGAGACTGGGTTGGCAGTTTGGTGAGTGAGCTGGGGCCACAGAGAAGAGGTTGTCTGGGAGAATAAAATTTGAAATCATCAGCATATAGTGGTATAGTGAGAAATCACCTCTCTACCTCTTCCCTATGTATGCCCTCACCCCAAAAATTACTGCCTCTACCCCTCCTAGTTTGTGTATTCACTTGGAGTTTAGGTTGCTACCAATTTATTACAAAGCTGCATTGAGTAACTATAATGATGATGTGAGAGGTGGTTCTCTCTCACTATAATGTGAGAGATGGTTCTTAAGCTGTAGGTTTTTTTTTCTTTGCTGGCCCTGATGACAGGAAAGACATATTCTATCCCTTTTGAGAGGGGGTAAACAATCTCTGATAAAAGTTTAGACTCAAACTGCATTCTTCTTCCCTTTCCCTTAGTCTGAAACATGGATACCATGCCACTCTACTTCTGGTATAATATGATTAAATAGCTCCCCTGCTAAAGTTGTTAGGGCTATTCAATAGTCTAATGCCTATTGTTTGGAGAATAAAAATAGCTTATGCTGGCTCAATGAAAAAAAGTCAGGAGGTTCATAAAAGTTATTGGGGGAAATGTATTTGTGGGAGGTAATCACATAACCTCAAAACACAGTAATAAAAAACTCAGTTGAGAAGTTACTGTGTATTTGTCCTTTCCCCCTTCCAGGGTGTGGTAGATTGTATTTTCCAAAATAGCAGCCTCACTATATCTCTTCCCACATGCTCTTCTAATAATGGGACACTGACACTCTTCCCACTGAGTGGTGGGGCCTATTTCCCTCTCCTTGAACTTCAGCTGACCTTTGTGACTGCCTGAACCAACATAATACAGTGGAAGCTGTCCAGCTAAGGCCAGGCAACTCCCACAACCCTGAGAGGGAATAATACAGTAGGTAAAATCTGTTAAGTTTTGAGGTTATTCATTATGCAGCAACAAAAAACAGGAACATGGTTTTGACTTTTAATCATTTTATATTTTCTTTGTTCTTGATCCTTAAATTTATATTCAGATTTTATAGCAATTTTATCTGTTCTTATTGCAGGTCACTTCAAAGCCTTTGTGGAAGAGGGCTTACATACAAATGTAATCAAATTTTTAAAGTGCTCCTTTGGGCAGCTCTTGTCGGTTAAGTGCCTACCTACGTCACGATCCCAGGGTCCTAGGACAGAGCCCACATTGGTGGCTCAGCAGGGAGCTTGCTTCTCCCTCTCCCTCTGCTGCTCCCCCGGCTTGTGCTCTCTTGCTGTCAAATAAATAAATAAATAAATAAAATCTTTAAAAATAATAATAATAAAGTGCTCTTCTGTCTAACCTGGTAATGTAAGCTCCCTAGTCTTATTCTATAAACGATAAAGATAACCCATGAAAGCTCTAGCACCACGTTTATGGGATTTAAAAACAAAAAAGAGAGATTTGAAGAGAGTTAAAAAAGCAAAGACTGTGGGGTGCCTGGGTGGCTCAGTCGTTAAGCGTCTGTCTTGGGCTCAGGTCATGATCCCAGTGTCCTGGGATCAAGCTCCACATTGGGCTTCCTGCTCAGCAGGAAGCCTGCTTCTCCCTCTCCCACTCCCCCTGCTTGTGTTCCCTCTCTCGCTGTGTTTCTATGTCAAATAAATAAATATGGTCCATATATACAATGGAGTATTATGCCTCCATCAGAAAGGATGAATACCCAAATTTTATATCAACATGGATAGGACTAGAAGAGATTATGCTGAGTGAAATAAGTCAAGCAGAGAGTCAATTAACATATGGTTTCACTTACTTGTGGAGCACAAGGAATAACAGGGAGGACACTGGGAGATGGAGAGGAGAAGTGAGATGGGGGAAATTGGAGGGGGAGACAAACCATGAGAAACTGTGGAGGACACTGGGAGATGGAGAGGAGAAGTGAGATGGGGGAAATTGGAGGGGGGAGACAAACCATGAGAAACTGTGGACTCTGAGAAACAAACTGAGGGTTTCGGAGGGGAGAGGTGTGGGGGGTTGGGTGAGCCTGGTGGTGGGTATTATGGAGGGCACATATTGCATGGAGCACTGGGTATGGTGCATAAACAATGAATTTTGGAGCACTGAAAAGAAATAAAATAAAATAAAATGGAAAATAAATAAATAAATAAATAAAATCTTTTTAAAAAAGGAGAAAAGATTGCTTTGTGTGGATCTATTCTACCTTGTCTGCTCTTTCTCCCCCAAAACATACCCTTTCCCATGAAACTTTGATGGCAATAATTATGACCTCATCTATGAGGATCAAATGACTAATTCAGTCAGTGAATAGTTCCTCAAGAGACATTTACAGGCTACTATTGTATGCTAGATATTAGACCAGGTACCAAAAATACAAAGACGCAGGCCAGCTTACAAAGGGACTTCTGGGCTCCTGATTACTTATAGTTACAAAATGCGTATCATACGCAAGGTCATGTCTAGGCATGTCTGGAAGTCTTTAAATGCCTTCAGTGATGGAGAAGTATTTAAAATAACAATAACAAAATAAAGCAGAACTATCAAATGATCTGACAGATAATTTAAAAAGTGAATGGAAAAAGTTATACAGCAATTTTACAGTAGGTTCATACATCTATGAGTTCGGTATAAGAAACAGAGCTAATTGGGGCACCTGCATGGCTCAGTCAGTTAAGTGTCTGACTCTTGATCTTGGCTCAGGTCTTGATCTCAGGGTTGTGAGTTTAAGCCCCATCTTGGGCTCCATGCTGGGTGGGAAGCCTCCTTAAAAAACAAAACAAAAAACCAGAGCTAACTTATTCTCTGCATAACCACAGAAATGAAAATATTATACTAACCTTAAAAAATGAAATTACAGTTAATATAAAAGATCATGAGATACCACAAGATAAGACATTACTCTTTTTAAGATGTTACAGTTTATTAATACATTCATAGTCACCACTTTTTAGAGATTTACTATAATTAGAATTTTAAAATCTGGTTTCCTAAATTGAATCTCAATCCAAGTAGTGTCACATCCATTAACTTTTCAAGAGTGGAGCATGAAGATGGGAACCACAGCTACTTGTTTACCACTGTGTATTCAGCATCTGGCCCACAGCAGGCACTAATTAAGAATTCGTTAAATTTGTGGTGCTCTTGGCTGGTCCAGTGGATTAAGCCTGGACTCTTGGTTTCAGCTCAGGTTGATATCTCAGGCTGGTGAGATCCAGCCCAGCCACAAGCCCCAAGCTCAGAGTGGAGTCAGCTTCAGACCCTTTCTCCCTCTCCCTCTGCCCTTCTAGCCTACTCTTTCTCTCAAATAAATAAATAAATAAATACACAAACAAAAGAACTTGTTGAATTTATGTATTGCAAACATGTATTTAAGAGAACAGATTAAATGTAGCAGTTTTATACAATAGGCAGGTCTGAATACTTGGTACAAACAGCCGTGTTTTGGGTGTTGCAGAGAACTACTAAAAGTAGAAGACACTGTCCTTCATGCAGAGTATTACATGCACTTAAAAACCTTTAAAATGAAATATAAATACTGCAAAATTCACATTTTTGAAATGAAGAATTTTCAGCAGGTCGCAGCTGCTTGAGCAGTGGAAGGAGCTGCAGCAGCCAGACAGCCCAGCTTCCGGAAGGCTCTGGTGCCCCCCACCCCCTGCAACCCGGCCCGCTGTGGCAATGATGCCACAGCTCTATCGACAGCACAGCGAAGGAGGAGCCCAAAAGGAGGTCAGACAGGTTGTCAGCTAAACCTGCTCCTGCGGAAGTGGAAACGACTCCAAAAAAAAAAAAAAAAAAGGAAAAGTAGGAAAGGCAGGATCCAAACTTAGGAGACCGTGGTATCTGGGAACTGCTACTGCTGTGCTACTCCAGGCGCGACTTTTTCCTAATGAAAAGCCATCCCCAGTTGACTCCACGGTCTTGTGACATTTTCAGTGTCTAAGATCGTGACTGTGAAAGTCTCAATCAGATGTCATACTTGCCTGAAACATAGAAATTTTCTATTTTCCTAAATTTTGTAATAGCAGTAACAGATTTTTGTTTTCTGGCCTGGGTAAAAAAAAAAAAAAAAAAAAAAAGGATATGGTAAACCTGGTTTTTTACGGTAATATAACATGTCACATTCATTGTGCTGCAGAATTTTAAAGACTTAAGAAGACTGAAAATACTACTAAGTCTAGCTTGCAAAGGAAATCCATTCTTGTGCTGTGTACGTCCCGGTTAGTGCTTGCTCGTTCCTTGCATACTGTGCTTATTATTCTTGACGATAATCCCAAAGCCACAGTTGAGGCCAGGAGAAAGGCAATGTGTAGGTTTTTGAGGATAAAGTTCTCAAGCTAAGGTGCAGTGAATCCGTGTGCAAGGGTACATACATCAGGACTTGTGTTCTTTGAGAACATAATGATTTAAATGTTGTGTTGGTTTGTTTTGCAACTATGTATAAGGGAGTACATTACATCCTTCTATTATAAGAAACTCTGAATTAACCCTAAACAACATTGGAGTTGTTTCCCTGGAATACATTCAGGATTGCATTGTTCAAATTGAAGGTCTCTGGAATGAACTTGCTCTTGAGTGTAATGTTTAAAAACTTGAGTTGGGAAAGCAAAGTATATGTAAATCATTGTAACTTTGGTATTGGGTGTAGTATTGAAACCACCTTCTGCAAAGATGTCACCCTTTTCAGGGGAAATTCACAGTATGATTAATTTCTGTACACTCAAAACCTAAGTGAGACTTTGGTGTTAGACCCCTTTTCTAAAAGTGGAAGCTTAGCACTGCATAATCAATTCTTTACTTAAACGTTGTACAGAGGGGCACCTGGGTGGTTCAATCAGGTGTCTGCCTTTGGCTCAGGTCATGTTCCTAGGGTCCTGCGACTGAGACCAGCATCTGGCTCCTTGCTCCGCGGGGAGCCTGCTTCTCCCTCTCCCTTTGCCGCCACTCCCCCTGCTTGTGCTCACTCTCCCTCTGTCAAATAAATCCATAAAATCTTTAAAAAAGCAAAAACAAAAACATACCAAATTAATGTAAAAGTCTCAAACTTTCCTTCAGGAGAAAGTTCTACTTTTTTAAAAAAAGTATTCAAAGAAGGTATAAGCAGAGTATGTTAACAGTATTTCTCATAACAGAAAGTAAAACAGTAACTCTGTATAAAAAGTTAAGTAAACCAGGAATTTTTCAAAAAGGCCAAAAAAATAGCGGATCTTGTTGCATAATGATGGAGTAATAATAATATTATTATTACACATTTTTGAGTTTTTTTTTTTTTAATAAACCAATTCGCTTAAGTACTAAAGAAAGAAAGAACAAGAAGGAAGGAAGGAAGGAAGGACTTTCAAACTATTTATTACTCTTGAACTCTGGCTATGCACCAAATACAAGAAAAGCCAGCACATACATCAATTATTTTTACAAGCTCTTAGGGGACAGGAAAAAATGACAGAATGCATTTCACAACCTTTCTGAAACTAACTTTTAACTACAGAAATGAAAATAAGTTTATAGTGCACAAAGTCATATTGCCAGTTATATATTCAGTGGTGTATGGATAGTGAAAAAATATATCCAGGCTTTCCCACATAAAATGGATATAAATAAGGGGATATTTAAAAGTAAAGACTAATTTATATGCTTGAGGAAAAAAAATCAAGACTTTTATTCACTGCTTTAGAAATTATGAGTAGAGAAAATAAATTATTCTGAATGAAGCAAATACTGAATTTTGTATTTTAAACCTTTAATATAGGATGACACCTGAAGACTCCATCCAAATCTCAGATTAAATGATTCTATGAACTAAATAAATACGGAAAGGTGAGGACAGATGAAGAGAGTGAAAGAAAATACAGAAAAGCAAAAAGGTCCTATAAGGAAACACCCTCCCATATATACACGAACTAACACAGAGCTGAGACAGGCACCTGTAAGAGGAAGAAAGACACACTTAGTCAGATCTTGGCTTCCCCGTGTGGAAGGCTTCCTCCTCGGAATTGTTCCATAATATTTTCTAGTATTTGTGTCTGAATGTCTGCCAGCCTCCTAGTGTACTTATTCTAAAGGCTTTTTAAGTTTTGATGTTTTCCTAACTAGACTGAATTGATTTGAGAATCAGTTGTCACATCCTTCTTTATTGCTTGAGTTGAATTAAAATTTTGGTTAATAAGAAACTTCCAATTTTATACTTCCTCA